CTGAAGGAGGGGGAGGCAGGGCTGGCTGCTCCACACTGCTGCTGCTAACTCCTGGCACAGCCATGGTGGCTGCCAGAGGAGAAGCATTTTCCGCTAATTCTTTCCTGTTTGATCCCTTTCTCTGTGTCACAATCTTCCGGGAGCCCCAGGAGATTAAACAGAGCTGGAATTTTGCACAAGTGCTATAACATGTGTCCCTATATGGGGCTCGTGCAGCCCCCTCTTCCCCAGGTGCTCCTGGATCGTTGGGTTTGTGAAACACCTGGCCCATGCTCTCAGCAGAGGTTTCTCTGTAATTCACTGCCCTTCTCTCTGCCTCTGCTGAGGGACTGATCCACTGCAGGGACAGAATCTGGCACTTGCTTAATGCTTCATGCAGCAGACGATTGCCCAGCCATCCAGTTTGCCAAGATCTCTCTGCCATGACTCTATATCGCCAATCTAATTTAATATCCTAATTGAATATAACATGCAAAGTTATTTAGTATACATTTGAGTCTCGTATCTAGAGCATTTATAAGAACATTAAAGAGAAATGGCCCCAACACGAAGCCCTGGGGAGCCGCACTAGATACTGACACTAACCTGGTGCAACTCTGTTTTTTGTGACCCTCTGATCCTGAGCCATCAGCCAATTGTTCAACCACCGTATTATATTTTTGTCTAGTTGTATGCTGAGCATTTCATCCAGAAGTACTGAAAGCTTTGTTTTTCAGCTGGGACCTCTACAGATTCCCAAGACCATAGAAAAATAATTGAGAGGTCTCGTGACAGCAGCCAGCTCTAGATGAAGATCCCTGCTCAGCTAAGCCAAACTTCTGCTCCACCTGCATCATGTTTTCATATTGATTGTTCCTGTGCTTTTAAGAGATGGCACTTAAGTGCCATGGGGGACCGGCCCTGATGGACCCCAATACCTTCAGAAGCAGTTTCCCAGAGAACCTAGCTAAGCTGGTTACTTGAGCTGCCTGGAGCCTGCGCTTCCACCTTCTTTCTGCTCGTTGCTTTTGGAATTTGTTGCCCTAGGTAATAGCATCTACACACTGCACATCCATATTTCCTGTCAGCTTTTGCTGACCTGCTGTAGTATTCAGTGTTCTGGAGATAAGGAGCTGCCCTGAGCTGTATCAGCAGCAGGGATTCATTTGCCCAATGGCAGGTTTCTCCATTATGGGAGGCTGAGCCTACCCAAGAGCAGGGGGCTGTTTTGCTGCTTCTGTGAAACAGTTGCAGCCTGCCAGCTGTCTAATATGGACTTCCTAGTGCAGCTCTGGAAATTGCTGTCAACAGTGGGTAGATGATAGTTGAAAGCGTGGGACTCAGTGCAAGTATCTGAGGCTTTAGTTCCTGTGTAGGCTGTGGTGTGTTCAGTTATATCTAGCCCTGATTGCTTTTCAGCAATAGTGAAAACAATTTTTACTCCTGCCTGGCACCAAAACTATGGAGATCATCTGATTTCTTCTGCTCTCTGAGCAGAAGCTGTCCTGTATTGGATCACATAATATGCAGAAGGACATGGGCTCACATCTGGTGGAGGTAAGGTGCCACAACCCGCCATGTGTTTGGGAGGGCTGCCACCCTACACACCAGGAGAATATGCAGGGTGTGGGGATGGAGCCGGAGCACTCAGTCTAGCCAGGGCTCTTCCTGCATGAACACCCTGTGTCCATGGGTGCATTGCAGCTCCTTAGCCCTGGAACCAGGGATGACTTTTTGGGGGCAGAAAGGAGGGCTGGGCAGAAGAGAAGAGGCAGCATGATGCTTCTGCTGTGTGAGATACAGACCTGGCAGGAGAAGCACAGGCATGGGGAGGACCATGGGGAGAAATTCATGGTGTGGAGCAAAATAGATAGAGCTCTTATCAGTGGCCAGATGCTGGTAAGTAAGGTATCACTGGCCTAACCATGGCAAACCCAACTGACTGACTGATGCAGTATATAGCTTTGCACCTAGCCTATCTGTGAGTGTCATGAGCAGCGTTCACCAGGACCTAAAAGGCCCAGCTACCCTGCCCTTCTGAAGCCTTATCCTTGGCCAGCAAGGAGGTAGCGTGACCGTGGTGTGGTGTTACCCCAGTGCGAGCAGCATCTATCTGAGACAGGAGGTGAGGTACCTTGGTTTTGCAGAGGCTCTGGGCCAATGTCATTCCAGAAAGTTGCATTGTGCTGCTGTCTTAGCTGCTTTGTTGTAGGGCTGAGCTTGCTGCAAGGTCCCTGAAATATTGCTGCTGGGTTGCAGCTGCTCCCAAAGGACTTCTAGGGAGAGAAGGCAAGAATCATAGGACTGTGGTCCCAACAGTGTCCCTGAATGATTCTGGATGATGAAAATGCCTCCAAATACCCAAAGAGTTCTGTGTATGGGGGAAGATCTGGGAGAGTACAGAGGTGGGCTCTCTCTGGAGGCAGTACTGTCCACACGAGGGACCAGGGTCTGGGGAGGACATACGTGTTTGAGATACTACTTTGCAGAGACATCTAGAGAGAAGGGATTAATAGAGAGGCAGACAGAGACAGTTCTAGAGAGCAAGGGGATTCTCTCGAGAGATTTTCTGGAGCTGTGGGGATTTTCTGTAGCCCTGGGGACTCTAACATGGAATAGTAAAATCTCCAGCATGCAGCTCTTGATGGAGGGATATGCTGGTATCCAAGGGACTCCGCTGCCCTCCTCTGAGAGCAGTACATCCAGCTCAGTTACCATTAGGACAACATCAAATATTTGTGGCATGTAGTATGAAAGTAAATAACAGAGGGACTACCAGTGTGGCAGCAATACTTGGATCATTTTTTGCATTCCCTGTGGCCTCAGTTCTTCCAGGCCTCAAGCAAAATTGCCAGTCTGAAAGCAGCAGAGGAGGAGCAAGGATGCACTGATGTCCATTCTCAGTCTCGCTGCCTTGCCAGTGCCCTTGCAGGCCCTGGAATCCTTCCCATTTTCTCCATTTTGCAGATGTGCAGATTGGGTTACTGCAACGGGAAATGAATCCCTCCCCCCGCAATGACTGAAATTCATTTGCTGCAGCTGCCTCTGGTAAAGGGACAGAGCCCTCCCTGCAGTCTGCCAGAGAACAAGTGCTTTTCTCAGGAAACCAAGAGGGCCAAAGCTCAGTGAAACCCCTCTTCTGCTGTTTGCTTTCAGTGCCAAGATAGATGCTGATGGGGTTTTCTTTCAAACTAACACTCTTCCTTGGAATCTGATGTAGAAAAAAGAAAAATAATAATAAAAATGAAACTATCTGAGGAAGTACTGTTTTCACAGACAAGACTGACTGATGTTTGAGCTTGCCGTGAGCCTTTGAGAGGATGCAGTGACCATCAGTGCTTTTGTGAATGCCCTCAGGCCTCTTCCCTTTACACTGCAGGACTCATAAGGACTCATAGGGACCCATGGAACTCAGAGCACGCTAAGGGTGCTCAGTGTGTGTTAATTTCTTTCTTTGTGGACCATGTGCTGTTTGGACAGTCCTCCTTTCATTCCAGGTTTCCCAGCTGCTCTTCTTTCTCTTGTCCCCATGTCTCTTTCTCTGGGTTCAGGCTGAGCTCTTCCAAAAAAATGCAGCTGTCAGCAGGAGAGCAGCAGCTGAGATCTGACAGGGGTCAGCAGCGCTTCCAGTGCCACAGCAGGACTGTGCCAGGCTGCATCTGCCTGAGCAACACAGCACTGCTAGCCCCATAAGCAAGCCCCGCTGCTCTTCTGTCTCTGCTTTTTCACTCTCCTCTTTCACCCGGTTACCCTGGGAAATGGGCAGCAGTTTGTTTGGTGCTGAAGGCAGATCTCATCCATGAAATTGGAGATCTTAGCCCCAGAGATCCCAGAGGAGCCTTGCTGGAGCCTTCCTCGCCAGTTGAGAAAACATGCTGCATGGCTGGCTGAGGTCGGCTGGAGGGAGGGAGCGAGTGGGCGGATGGATCCTGGAGTGTTACACTCTTGTTTTTGTTCTCATTTTCATGGCAATAACATCCGCTCTGAGTTTGCTGGGTCAGGGTTCTACTCCTGCTTTTCAGCATCTAAGATAACACCTATTCCTCTTGACCTTCACAGAATGTCTTTTTTTTTTTTCTTTTTCTTTTTTTTCTTTCCCCCACTCTTGTATTCGCTGCCTGGTCCAGCTTAATGTTTGCTGGTGAATTCCCCCATGGGTTTCCAGAGCTCGGCAGTTTCAGCATCCTCCCAGCCCGGGATTCCTTGGTTCGTAATCTTAACAGCTGCAAGGCTCATCATTCCTGGAAGCAGTGCTGTAGCTTGCTGGCCCACCAGTGAGTGTGACTGCGAGGTTTGGCTCTTGTGACTGCCTCCCACCCTAGAACCTCTCCATCAGACAGACTGGCTGGAGCCTTTTGCTGCCTTTTGGACTCTGGAAGCAATTCTGCCTTTCTAACCCTAGGACCCTCCATCTCTGCCAGCCAGGCCTTGGAAGTTAATCATTACCACTGAGTAGTTGTGTGCTGCCTGCAGAGCTGCAGATCTCCCCTTCCTCACAAAAAGTTCCCTGCAGATAACAAACGTTACAGCCACAGACCTGCCTTCTCAGACCCTTTGCTCTGGGACCTCAGAGCACAAGCTGCCTTCTGTAGTCACCTTGGATCCTAGTGACCAGTGGGACAGGGCTGTAATAACGTCGTATAATGGAATGGCCTCAAGCTGCGCCGGGGGAGTCCAGGTTGAATATTGGGAACATTTATTGAGAGAAAGAGAAGCGATGCAGAGGCGCAGGCTGCCCAGGGAGCGGTGCAGTCACCATCCCTGGAGTTGTTCAAGGTCAGGGCAGATGCGGTGCTCAGAGACAGAGCAGCCTCACCCCGAGCCCGCGCTCATCCCACCGCCCCCCCCACGAGCACGGCGCACGCGCGCACGCGCGCACGCGCTCACGCGCGCACGCCCTCCCGCGGGGCCGCGCTGCAGTCACGTGGCGCCTCGCGCTGCCCCCTCCCCTCGGGGCGGCCCCGCGGAGCCGGGCGGGCTGCGGGAATGGCGGCGGCGGCGGGCGCTCCTCCTCTGTCCCCTCCGCCGCCGTGAGGCGCCGGCGGCAAGCAGTTTGAGGCGGAGGTAGGTGTGCGGGCGGCGGGGCTCGGGCGGGTGTCGTTGCGGGGCCGCCCGGGCGGAGGTGCGCCGCGTCCGTGCGGGCTGCCGGGTGCCACGCAGCGCTGTCAGCCGGCGCTCCCGGCGCGGGACGCGCGGCAGCCCGCAGGCAGCGGCCGTGCACAGATCCTCAGGAAACCGCGGGGTCGGCTTGGCAGGAAGCTGGAAAACTGCCGACCTTGCACTTTTTTTTTTGTTTGGCTTTTTCTGCGGAATCCAACTCGGGAAGGTTTGTGCTGTGCTCGGCTTTTTTTTTTTTTTTTTTTTTTTTTTTCTTGCTGCGCTGGGCTTTTTCGGTTCTCCTCTAGTTTTCCTCACGTTTGCCGTTTTCGTGCGTCCGGGGGACCGGTAGGATACGGCCCGGCTTCCGAGGAGCGCAACCCATGGGATTCGGGCGCAGGTGCGCCGCTCCCTCGGGTGCTGTCGGCTGTCGGGGCGCGGCGGGACAGCGGCGGCAGCGGCCGGCACCGGTCTGCCTGCGGGACCGCCGTGCCTTCCGGCCTTCCTGTCCTCTTCCCGGTGGCAGCAGCACAGCAGCACAGCAGCACACCTCTCTCCTGCACAGATAACGTTCCTCCGAGAGCTCGAGTCACGAGACAACGGTTCATATCTCTTTTTTTCCCCTCCTATTCCATGTGAGTAGCTGGACTCTTAGCAGCTAAGCGGGTTGCGGTGTCCCTTTCCCTCGCTTTCTTTTGCAGCTGTTTGGTTCTGATTTGGGTTTTCTCCTCCTGCTCTGTTTCTTGTCCCCTTCCGGCCGTACAGCGGGTGGTCCTGCTGGGGCCCTCCTAGTGAGCTTCCCGGGTAATGCAGGAGTCCCCGAACGATGCGCTCGCTGCAGTTTGCCCCTCTGATCTCCGCAGGAGGGGCTCCCACGGTGCCGTTCGAGATACGGCTTAACTATTGAACGAACGCTTCTGTTTGGAATGCTCTCCCTGCTTCGTGGCAGATCCATTGCAGAGAACCACCCCTGATTTCGTGTGGCGAGGATGAATTGGTTTCATCAAGTCTCCACCTTCCCGTGATGGGCTTCATTCCTTTCCATTGGGTTGCTGCTTTGCTCGATACCTCCCCTTCCTGAGTGAAGCCTTGGAGAGCTCCTCGTTCCGTACCAATGTCGCTCTTTAGGTAAGTGATGCGATAGATCATCTTGACCTTTCTCTGATTGCCCGCACGTGTCCAAAGAGCAGCCTGACTACAGCGAGTGCTGTGCTGCCTGAACTCCGCACGGTGTGCGCCATGCATGCTCTCTCTTGCACCTAAAAGAGTAGAGGCATGGGAGTTCCCATTGGTCATGAGCAGCTCACTCAGATCTATGCATCCACATGCATATATGGTGCTTTTATCAGCAGCTCCAGTGTGCTGAGTAGCTTCAGATGAATTATCTTTGCGTAGCAGTGCTCTCTGTCCCTTTCCCTCCCCAAGGTGCTCCTTTCTGTTATTTCTTATACTTCCAAATGTCATTTATCACCAGAACGAGCTCCTTATAGATCTTCCCAGTAAAACCAGGTCAAGTCAACAGTTCTTCTGAATCCTTTCCTACCTTCCAGCACTGCTGATGCTCTCTCGCTTGTTCTTGCTGTACAAAAAGGTCAGCAAAATCTATGACGCGGACTGCATGTTGCCAGTTCTGTCCAGTTTGCGTGGCATGGCATCATGGATGGTCCTGTGCCCTTACTCATCCAAGAGGTCAAAGAGATTTCCCTCTCTGTGCTTTCACACCACTCTCTGTGGTACCTGTGCTTCTTTGCAGGAGAAGACAGCAGGCAGACCACACGTTCTGCCACGTGGACAGGCATTCAGGCATATGTTTTCCTCTTGTAACACCCCAGCAGCTGCAAAACCTACCCAGCCTCTTCTTGGCCTGCGGGGTTGAAGTCTGGATCTGCAGTGAAGAGGGTCAGGGTCTTTGTATTGCTGTGGAATGTGGAAGCTGTACTGTTTTTTTCCTTGTTCCTCCTGTGGTTTGGGGAGCAGTGTCCCTGAACTTAGGCCTATGGAGTGTTTGCTGGAATACTAAGTAAGCCAGCTATGGTCTGTTTTTCTCTGAAAATGCTCAAGAACGGCACTCTTGGAGTAGCTGTGTTTAGTTGTCCTGCTTTGTCCTGAGTCAAATGTCTGAGATATGCTTTTTGGGAAGGGTAAAACTAGGAGGTGTTATAACTTTGCCTATTAATGTTTTGTGTGTAAAGAATCGTCTAACTGTGAGGCAGTACTTAGCTGTTGAGAAACCAGCCCTTCTTACCAGGAGTGCAGTCTGTACTTGGTGTGATTATTGAAGATCCCAGCATAGCAAAGATTTCCTCCCAGCTCATTACTTTGGACCACTGTCTCCTCTCTGTTGCTGTTCTGAAAGGATTTTATGTCAAAAGCGCTAAGTAATCCAGTAGGGAATATATCTGCATGCATATCTGGGCTCTTTTAAGAAGAAAGAGAAGAGAAAAGACCAAGTTCTGAATTTTGTATGTCTGATCTGCCTTCAGTGTTTGCTTAGGGTCTGCCTGAGCTGTGAGGGACTTCAGAGCTGAAACTCACAAATGGATGTTCACCATCTTCATTTGTTCTGATGTATGCATGCTCACACCCAGAGCAAATAAATTTGACAGATATCCTTCCTGAGCTTGGCTTGTATTTAAGAGAGGGCAGTACGAGGTATCTGGCGAACGGCTTGTTTAACCATGCTCATAAAAATGTTTGTGCACAAGCAGCTTATTCCAGTTAAATTTCTCAGCTCTTTCAGTCTTTATTTGAAGGACTGGTTGTGAGAAGATGGTTTGTGTAGGACTTATCTCCCTAGAAATTCTGCTGAGGGCAGACAGGCCCAGGCTGTGGGCAGAGGAGCTGGTGCTGCTCCGGGACACAAAGCAGGTCCTCTAAGCCCAGTTTCTTTGTATGCCATCACCCTCCCTGCTTTGCTCCTGTGCTCTTGGGAGCCTGGAGGTACAGCACAGCTCACTACTGAATGTCCTGTTCAGTGCAATACTGCTCAGCCTCCCTGAAACGTTGGGAGAACCCAGCCTGGCTTGCCTTGCTGTTGCCTCTGAGGCTGTTTCTCAGCCTGGCAGGTTTGCTGATCACTCCCACATAACTTTTCACTGTGCCGATTCCCTACAGCCAGACCCGTTTTGAGGAAGACAGCCAGGAGCAACCAGCTGTGGGATACTGGAAACCACTAATGCCGTCCAAAGGCAGCAAGAAGGAGCCAGAGACTGGATGCCAGAATGCAGGCAGCGGGGATGACAGCCAGTCCACTGAGCAGCGCAACGTCTCGCGTCTCCGCAGCTCTTCAGTGGAGATCCGGGAAAAGGGCTCTGAGTTTCTGAAGGAAGAGCTGCACAAAGCACAAAAGGTAAAGCCCAGAGCCTGTGAGAAGGGCTGAGCTTGGAGGCACTGAGGGACATAGTCTATAGCAGTCACAAGCATAGGTTGGTTGTTAGGCTAATTGATCTTAGCGGTCTTTGCAGCCTTGATGATTCTATAATATGGAGGCTAATGATAAGCGAGCAATTCCAGTGTGAAAAGCCTGCTACAGCTTGTGAAGGGATGCTTCTGGTGGCGTGGAGTGCTGTGTCAAGAGTCTGGGATTCATGCAGGGGTAGGGAGGAAAGGGAGTGATTAGTAGGTAAGGCCAGGCAGGTGTCAGCACTGCTGGGGCCTGCTGGTAGCTCATGCATCCCTATACAATTTCCTCAACAGGAGCTGAAGCTGAAGGACAAAGAATGTGAGAGACTGTCAAAAGTCAGAGAGCAACTGGAGCAGGAACTAGAAGAGTTAACAGCTAGCCTGTTTGAGGTACCACCCTCTTCCTTTTCCCATCATTTCTTAAGCTAAGCTTGCTTCCAATTCCTTTGAGGTAGGCTTTCTCTGAACTTCCAGCCATGTTTGTGTTACCTCCCACAGCTTCCTTAGTCCCTGTTGTTCGTGCACATTTGGAATGCTGCACAGTGCTGCAAGCAGACCCTCCCATGGGCTGGTGCTTGCTTCTGGGGAGGATTTGCATACGCTCCTTTCCCCTCCTAGCAGCTGTGGGGTGACATAAAGAGCACAGCAGGTTCCGTGGTTGCAAAGCTAAGTGAAACCAGACATGGGGATGCCCGGAGCTGGAGGTGAGCATGGCTCCCTGGCCTTCTCCTGTGCCTGCTCTGTAGTCTGAACAGCATTTGCTGTGGTTTTTTGTTTGTTTATTTTGGTTTAATTTTTCGGTTCTTAATTTGATTCTTGTCAAGCTCTAGCCTGATGAGATCCCGTGATCCCATTTACCAACAGCTTTAATCTGTAGAACTGACTGGACAGTGAGGAAAGCCAGAACTCAGCTGTACCTGTGAAACACAGGCTGTTCCTGAGTGTAAGGTGAACTCAGAGAAGTTCAGCTGAGGGCTTTCTCCTTCACTGGTGGCCTTGGGCAGAGTGCTTCGAGGCAGTGCTGTGGGGTGGTCTCACTGGGAGTGATACCACCTACCTCCCCCTTCCTGTGAGATGTGCTTCTAAGTTTAGTCCCCACCTGAGCTACTGCTCCTGCTGCTGTGCTGCAGCTGTGCTCAGAGCAGTGAGGGCTGGCTGCTCCGTGGAGGTGGTAGGAACAGAGTGCAGTAACAATTCAGGCAAGTGCAGCAGGGCAGTGACTGAATGAGGAACCAGAATGTGGATCAGTGAGTCTGGATGAGAATCTGTGCCAGAGACAGCGATCAAGGTCAGAAACAGTCCAGAAATGAACTAGCAAGTCTGCAGTGGTGATACACATCTGAAGTCATGCCAGGAAGCTAAGCCATTTGAATCAGTCGCAGAAGTATTGGACTACACAATTATGATCTAGCATGGGTGGGTGCCAGCATTAAAACCTTGGCTGTAAAGCGTATCCCAAGGGCTAGAGGGGCAGGCCCTTTCTTCTGGCTTTTTTTTGCAGCACCTCTTTTGATTGGAGAAGATAACCTTGGACTCAGCAGATAAACTTACATTTATCCAGCTGTGCTCCTGGGAAGGGGATGCACTCCAGGCTGACACTGAGAGGCCTTTTCTGGGAAATTCTCGGGGGCAAAGCTCTTCATATCTGTTAGAGTAAAATAATTGGATGTGGCAGTGATGTCTGTCCTCCTGCTTGCTTGCACAGAGCATGAGACATGGCAGAGCTTTGGCCGGCCCCAAGTGACTGTATGAGATGGGGCTGCCACAGGCAGACTAAAACTCTTTCTGGTCCAGGAGGCACACAAGATGGTGAGAGAAGCAAACACAAAACAAGCGGCGTCAGAGAAGCAGCTGAAGGAGGCATGGGGAAAGGTGAGAACTGCGCTCTCTGTGACTTGATCTCTTTGCAGGGTTGGTGCAGTCCTGGCCCATTGTAGCCATGGCAGGTTGGTTGGCTAGAGGAGGGTGAAGTGCCTGCTCCCTCTCCAGCAGATTCTGCTGATCACCTCCTCCTCTTAGAAAAAAGGGTGTGAGAAGAACCACGTGGAAGCAGTGTGCTGTTTAATTGTTGTGGCTGTGTGGAAAGAGCTGATGAGGGTGCATCACAGGGCTGCTGTATTGGTTCCATCTTGGAAAGTGAAATTACTTCTGGGTTGGTGTGTCTAAAAAGAGCCTGGGGCAAGATAGACTGAGGAGCAGCAGGATAGATTCCCAGTTAGTTCTTGTTTTCCTCTTTAAAATTTTGGCTGACAGTGGGCATTTGAGAGAACGAGGAGAAGGCTTCATGAGCAGGCTTGTAGCTGTTTCCCTGTGGCCTTCCAGTGTTGGGTGCAGTACAGCAAGTTCAGCAGATGCTGAAGGTGCTGTTGACTCTTGCCTTGTCTCTCTCAGATCGACATGCTGCAGGCAGAGGTAACAGCTCTGAAGACGCTTGTGATCACATCCACACCTTCCTCTCCAAACTGGGAGCTACACCCTCAGCTCCAGAGCCCTTCTAAAGCCGTTTTCAGGAAAGGCCATGGGCGAAACAAGAGCACCAGCAGTGCAATTGTCACAGCCGTCAGCCAGAATGCAACTCCAGCACCAGTCAGTCGTGAGTGCAAAGAGGTGGGTGAGGGGCATTCATGCACCAGCCTTGGAGACATTGCTGTTGCTGTACTTGAGAAGTTTTGCTTGGCTTCTGACTGAGGGAAACAATCTGTGCAGTAGTCTGGCTTGTTCCTAAACTGTGCTGAGGCAAACTCTAGAGGGTTTCTATTTGTGGAGATTTCCACTTCTGGGAATAAAGTTCAAAGCTGCATTAGGACAATGCTAGAGGAAGGAGCTGAGGGACCGCTGGAGGGCATGGACAGACCCAGGAGTTAGCAGTGCTGAGAATGGATGTGTTGGGAGTTGCTGAGTGGAAGCCAGTTCTGATGCATCTTGGCAGTTCAGTCTGCTACCTGTTCTGACGTATTTGCTTTTGTTCTTTTTTCCAACTGGTTTGACTTTCAATGATCAGAGCCTGGGTTTGGGCTCCAAGTCTCCTCCACCATCTTCTATCAACATCTCTTGTTCTCTGGTCTTGGGCATGCCACTGTTCTTCCTCCTCCTGCAGAGTGTTCACCTTTCTCACTGGGAGGAAATGTTCAGATAAGGCTACAAAGAATTTGTGAACGTCTTTCAACCAAACCCTGTTTAATTCCCTCATTCAATAGACCTACACTTGCTGTGACCATGAATGTAATTCTTTTTATTATTTTTTATTTTTTTTCTGCTAGCAGCTTCTGGCTGGGAACTTTCCAATGGCCAGATGTGTGCACAGCTACCCTGAAGAGCAGAAAGGAGACAGGCTGTGGCACTTGATCAGGGAGAATGAAAATGTGGTGAATGTGGTGTAGGAGTATGTTTCCCTGATGACTTTTTTTGGAGCTGTGGCTTCTGTCATAAAGAATTGTTGAGAGCACGTGGAGAGACCTGGTCACTTGGCTTGTGAGAGAATGTGTATGCAGAAGGGCAGCTGGTGAAATTAATACATTCACCTAACAGAAGGACTGTGCTGGCAACACCATTGGTGATTTCAATGGATTTATTTTGCTAACTTCTGTGTAGTGCTGTTGTTGCTACTTTGGATGACTATTGGCTGTAGCTATTGTCTTGAGGGCTGTAGCAATAACACCTTTAACTCTCTTCACAGGCAAGAGGAGCAAAAGCTATGACCAAAAGAAAACCAAAGGAAAAATTAATTCAGTAACTGCAAATCCCTGCTGTACTTGTTTCTCTTGATTAATCAGAGAGCGAACCAGATATGCTGGAAGTTGTAGTCAAATACTTAGTTGGCTAGAAGCTAACTTGAGTGCTAGGAAAAAAATGATTTTAATCTTCTAATGCTCTCTGTGCTCTCCTAATGGTTACCATTCCTGTCAAGTTGTTTACTGGCCCACACGAGAGGTGGTGTGAGGGAACCTGGCATTCAGCTTGGTGCTTTGTGGAAAACATGTCCTATTCTAAATTGTGTCTAGAAGTTGCAGCATTTGTGTTCCATTTAGCACCTCAAACTGAAGTTGAAAGGTGTTGTTTATGGCCCTGTGATGCCTTGAGTTCTTAGTTCGCTGGAAGAGAAGCCTTGAGCCTCTGCCTGTATCTTCTGTATTGTTATGGTTTTTTACCTCCCTTTCTTGCCTGTCACTCTAAACGTCTTCACTGTCTGTCTCTTTTTCTTGCCTCAAAGTCTGGGGTGCCTGCTTTCCTTTCTCTGCTCCTTTGTATCATCCCTGGGAAGGCTATCCACTTCACCTATGAGCCAGGCTGGCAGGCACTGGGGGCAGATGCTTCCTCACCGTTGCAGCAGGTAACTACTGGACGGTATTGGAGAGGGGTGGAACCCATCTGACTCTCACACTTTCAGCCCTTCAGTTCTAGCTTCCTTTTATGCTAACCTCCATTTCTGTTTTGTTTGTTTTCCTGAATTTGTTTTTTCATGTTGTGGCTCTGAAGCTGTCTGCTGGTGCGAGGTGAGCAGTCCCTATAGCATACAGCAAGTGTGCTAGATTTCAGGCCTCCTTCTGTTGCATTCCTTCATGCTTTTTGTATTGTTTGGCATGTTTCTGTAGTTCTGTTTCTCCTTTCAGCATCTTCAGCAGGATTTGCTGGCCTTTTAAACAGCTGCCGTGTCGGCCTGGAGTTTAAATGACTGTTCCAGAGAGTCTCCAGCACTGAAGTATTTCCAGTCAGGCAATGTAGGAGGGATCAACCTTCCTGCTAGTTAAGGGGTTGGGGCAAGCCCTGTCCTTGAGTCCCTGAGTTGTTGAGGAGTGATAATTCTTGCAAGTCCATCTGTAAAAGGCAGTGAGCAAGCATTGTGATCAGGAAAGCTATTCCCACTCTGGGTTTGACGTTCCACTTGTCCCTGCATGCCAGTGTGATTGCCCAGAATTCCCATTACTTCCTCAACTCCCCAGACACCAGAGTTCTGGGTTGGAATGGCCTTTAAAGGCCTGGCATACTCTGTTATTTGGTCACACTGAATGTAGTCCTGCTGATATTAATAGCTTTTTTTTTTTCCTTTTTTTTTCCCCCTCCAATTCATCCTTTTCTATAGCAATCCTTTGTTAAGAAAAGCATTCTGTGTCCTGGGTGTCATTACCACTGTGCTTTGCCATTCAGCTGCTCTCGTTGTTTCTGCCATGGGCACTTGCTCTGTTCAGCAGTTGTGTGGTGGCTTTCCTTCAGCAGTGGCACTGCCCTGTCCTGGACAAAGGTGGGAGAGATGAATCTCTGCAGATTTCTGGCAGAATATGCCCACCTTGGCTGGATGGGTCTGGCACAGAACTGAAAATGGGTGGGAGACAAAAGATCCTTGGAAAGAGCCAGCTTTCCTCAGACACTTCTGTGATATCTGAACCTTTCTAGGTACCAAAGTAGATGTTGTATAGTTAGACTGCCTATGCAGTAACAGTTATCTTCAGACATTGTATCTCTCCCTCTACCTACCTTCTGTTTTCCTTCTTTTCCTGGGCATTTTCTGCAGATTGATTCCATTTTATTTGCCGAGTTCCAGTCCTGGAAGGAATCTCCAACTTTGGATAAATCCTGCTCCTTCCTGGACAGAATTTACCGAGAAGATGTAGGACCTTGTCTGGACTTTACTAAACAGGAGGTGAGTGCTGGCAACTGAGGACAGAAACTGCACAGTCTGGCGACTCCAAAGGTGCACCTATAGAGAGGTGACCTTTGCACATCTGTATCTGCAGTCATTTCTCTTTGCTGCAGCTGTCTGAGCTGGTGCGAGTGGCTGTGGAGCAGAATACACTCACCATTGAGCCTGTTGCTTCCCAGATGCTGCCTGTGGTGAAGGTGTCAGCAGAGGACTCTGGTGGGCCAAAGTAAGGAACCTTTCTTGTTCTTGTCCCCCCTTTTTGCTGCTGTTTTCTATCACTGCCTTATGAAGCTGGCTCAGTCAGGTACCAGGGCTCAGCTGAGTGTATTTCTAGCCCAAGATTAGTGGTAGTTGAGCTTTGCTTTCTGAACTCTTCACCAACTGATGTAATTCTTCTTGGGTATACTGCAGTTGAGTGGTTGGGAGATAATTTAGTAATGTGTTAGTGCCCTCGGTTCAGAAGTTTTATTTGCTTTCTTTTCCTCCTTAAGAGAGAAACTGCTTTAATATTCTCCAAAGGCTTGTGCATAACATAGGGTGCAAGGGTTAAGTCAGAGCTACATTATCTCACATTCTTGTATCTTGTGACCCCTGAGCTCACCTTGCACTGCTAACATTGCTGGTGCTCCAGGTGGGTTTGAGCCTAGGTCAGAAGAATTTGCTCCTTGCTGCATACATATAATCTTCTTCGCTTGATGCTGTGACTGTGTTTGATGTGACAGACAGCCTAGATTGTTTCAGGGAAGAGGAATGCTGGCAGAAGTGGCATCATCTTTCAGAGTACACAGGGGACTTTCAGTTATTGAATTCAGTTTCAGTTGAGGCTCTGTTCCTTAGTTCTTCCCACTTCCCTTCAAGCAGAGCACCTTCCAGGCAATGGTATTCCTGTAATGAATGTTGCTCATGTGCAGGCTTCCTACTCTGCTCTTCTGCATTTTTCTCTCATCACTAGACAAATTGTTCCCCCAGCATGTGTCAGGGCTCTGCCAGGACCAACCCATCCTGTGTGTGTCCTTGCTGGTTCCCTTTTGATTTTTTTTTTCCCTCTTCACAGTGTGTTCCAATCACAGATTGTAAAGTATTTATTAGTAGGTGATCAAAGGTGGCTAATCAGTTAACAAGTTACTAGTTTAGTATGATTTAGCATCTTTGAGGCTAGAGCTGAACTAACCAAACTCTTTAACTCTGTTTAATTTCCACCCAGACCAGGTGTTAAGGAATCTTTCTCTTGGTAATAAATGGATTTGATTTGTTCCCTGGATGAAAAATGCAAGGTTTTGTGGCACCTTTGGTTGTGCTGTGGAGAAGAAAGAAGAAAGTTTGGGTCCCTTTCACCCTATGGTAACAGAGTTCAGTGCAGTGCTTTCAGGAGTCTAGGCAGGCAGCAGCTGAGCTTGATGGCAGTGGAAAGCAAGCACCAAGGCATTCTCAGAAGCTTTTTGGAACATCTGCTCCTTTGTGTGTTGTCATCTTCCACAGCTCTCAGAGTACCTGAGGAATGATGTTCCTCTTCTAGCCATGCAGGCATCAGATCTCTGAGAAGCCGTGGTAATGGCAGTGCAGCAACAAAGTCTGCTTTACTGCTAAGTGATGGTGAAGGCCAGGCTACTGGCTGGTACTGGGAACTGTTCATCTTCACAATAATGGAAGGAAATGGCAAAAAAATAGAGATAAGCTGCACCCTTGCTGATTACATCTTTTCAACATCTTTCTGGGAGCCATGCTGTCTTGAAAAGAGTACTTTTTTTTATTGCTTTGTTTGAAATCTCTACAGTAGTGAGGCTGAACTTTTCCATGCTTGCACAGAAGGAGATTGGCTTGTTCTTAGGGATCTGAAACCATGTCCAAAACCTCCTGAAGTCAGCATAAAGTTATTCCAGATGGCTTTCAAGTCTGAAATAAGGAAGAGGAGCCAAGCTGCACTGCAGCATGTTTTCAGTTCTCCAAATGAGACAGTGGGGTTTGTGCTTGTTGATGGTGAGAAAGCATGACACAAAAGCTTTAAGCCCTATGGAATACCTGTGAGCTTCCACTTGAAGCTCAGAGGAGATTGCATTTCATTTTAAATGTAACTCTTGCCAGGTTTGCAGCTTCCCTTGGGTGTGTTTTCCTGTGATGTGGCAGAGTTGTGCATTTACCAGTGGTGTGGTGTGTGAAGTCCAAGTAGGGACACCACGAGGAACATCTTGTGTGCCATGTTGGAAGGTATTGAAGAAAGGTGACAAGTCTGGATGAAGTTCAGTGTCTTGCCAGCAGGGGGGATGATTATGCTTAAACACAGGAATATCTGTTTTGAAACCAGATCTGGTCCACAGCTGGCATCTGTGTATCCCACCAGGAAAACACCTGGACAGAATTCTCCTTCAGCAAAAACCTTGCGTGGCAAAGATGTGCAGAGCCCAGAGGACATGAGTTATACTCTGCTTTGTCCTCACCTCTTTCTGTGGATCTGCCAAGGGTAATGCCTTGGTTTGCTTGAGCATGGGATAATTCATGGTACCAGATTTTTAGCTTATGGTCTCCTAAATTCACTATTTATGGAATCTTTCTAGGGTTAAAAGGCTGATTATCAACTGCATTTGGTTTGTTTTTCTTAATGCTCACTGACACAGGTCTTACTTCTGAGCTCTGCCTTTCATCTCCTGGGGATCTACGCTGCTGTGCCGTGAGGTTGCTTTATAGCCTGATCTGTTTTCCTTTCTTTCTCTCTGCCTGCAGGAAGTGTGCTCTAAGTGGCCTCCCCAGGACCTGCAAACACCGCATCATGCTGGGGGATTCTGGGAATTACTATTACATTTCACCATCCTGTAGGGCCAGGGTGAGTATCCCACCTTTCCCAGGACTGTTCTAGGCTCTGAGATGGAAGGACTCTTGGGTCAGCGCTCAAACCGACAGAGACCTATGGAGCTTGAGTTTGTTCTCATCATTAGGGTGGCTCTCGTTCAGAGTGGTACAGTGGGGATCTCCAGACCTGTCTCAGGCCCTTGTGCCGTGGTTGTGCTCTTTCAGGCCGTCTGTCTGCTTTGTATTCGCTTCTATGGTCTGATTAATTACAGGAACTTGGTTTGCATTGATCTTTAATTCTCCTCTATAAAACAGTGTGATTTTTTTGCTCTTTAAATGCTGGCTGTTGGGCTTTACCACATTCAGTAGTGACTACTGTCTCACGCTGTGTATGTTGTGGGTAGTGCAGTATTCTGGTATGGTACTGCAGATACCTGGAACTTAGGTTAACAGCTTTCTTCCTATCTCATTGTATCTGGTGATATGTAGAGCCATTTCTCAGATGCTGAGCACCAGGAGTGCTCCAGTTCTGTAGCTGACACCTTTTTTTTTTTTCCTTTTTTTCTTTCCTCTATCCTTCAGATCACAGCGGTGTGCAACTTCTTCACATACATTCGCTATATCCAGCAAGGCCTGGTGAGGCAAGATGGTAAGAGGGGGTAGCAGCTGGGTGCAGTGGGGCCTTTGATGGGCCAGTGGGAAAAATTCTGAGGCCGTACTCAGCATGACAGGAGTGTGGCCAGCTTGGGATACCCTGAACTTGCTGGATCTTTGAAAAATAGTTAAATGGCAAAGAAGAGATGAGAGCAAGAGAAATGGCTTCACCCATTCCTTGCTCAGCAGTTTCTTGGAAGCTGTATCCTGAGGCAGAGCCAGTAAAGGGGTGATCTGCTGGGCCCTCCAGCATATCTGCTTCCCTCAATTTAGGGGTGAGCTTTGTTGGGCTGCACTGAAAGCATAGTGTAACATGAGGTGGGATCTAACTGTGCCTCACTTACTGATTATTTTTTTTTTCCCTGCTTTTTCATTTTTCCTCTGTATTTTTTTTTTCCACTTTGCAGTGGAACTGATGTACTGGGAAGTGATGCGACTCCGGAGGGAGATGTCTCTGGCCAAACTTGGGTTTTATCCCAGTGAGATGTAATCATCAGGAGCAGCCTGAGCTTGGAAGGAAATTGCTCCTGTATGAAGGACTCATCAGTAGTGGTCTGCCAAACAGATGAATGCAGTGCCTCTCCAGCAGTGGCCTTGCTCCCTCCTCTCCCTCCCTATGCCTGATGCTGATCATGGAGCAAAAAGCACAAGTTGTACCTTCAGCTGTCCCATTCCTCCCACTGTGACTGGAATGCAGCTGCCAAGCTACCCTCTGAGAGCTGGGCTGGTCCTGGCTGCTCAGGGATGATTGTCTACAGACTGTCCTTTATGGAGATATGCAGTGTATATCCATTATTTTTAAACCTTTGTTTTTATATACAGTCTGCTTTAGCTTAGTCTGAGGCCAGCCCTGTGCAAAGCAGAAGTCCTGGGCTCCCTTCTTAGTAAGCAAGTCTTTCAGGACAGATGCTGGCAGTCTGTCTGTCCCACTCATTCTTTGGGGTGGAGGGTGCTGAAGCCTGCAAGAGAATCTTTCTTCCAGCTGAGTCACAGGAGGTCTCTGTTTTTAGCTTGGGATTTGGTGCTGGGTGCTTGTAATCCAGCTGGGGGGGAGCAAGTGGGGCTGAGGCCAGAACTGTGCACGTGGGACCTCTGGGAGAAGGAAGCAAGCAAGGAAATTGCATAATTTGCAGCTGGTCACAGCTTGGCTGCACTCAGTGCTGGATATTTTCTCCCAGCCTTGAGAATCTGGTGTTGTGTCATAGGCAGATGCAGACCTTGTTAGCATGTTACCATGTGCACGTTCTTGGTGTGGAAGTCCCTTGTGGTATTCCTAGATACAAACCTCACCCACAAACAAATGCCTTTGTTTTGTTCCTACTCTGAGGGTGAATTTGGGTACTGTTCACACTGTTTAGATGGAAACCGTAGTCCCAGGCTGAGTTCTTTATGTCCAGAAGGAATATGCTCATGTTGGGCACAGCCATGAGGCCGAGAGATTCCCTCTCTGCTCTAACACTAGACTTAGAGATGCATGTCCATTTGGAAAACCCAGTATCCCTCAGGCTGCCATACCCAATGAGGAAACTTGAGGTATTTTTGCACAGATGAGAGGTGTGGCTGTATGCTTCAAAACGTGCTGGGAAGGATATCACTACAGCTTTTGGAAAGTGGAGGCCAGCTGTAGCTCAGACTTGTCTGTACAGAACTGAACTAACAGTGTTGTAGCTGATGTAGCCCTTTCTCAGTTACCACCCACTCCATTAGGTTCCATCCTTGCCACAGCAGGAATTTTCTGCCTTTGCTGTAAGAAAACTGAGCTGCTGTGGTTTTGTCCAGGAGAGGGAAGAACTGAGTCCAGCTCAGACATGGCTGACCTGCAGGCCCCATTTGTTACCACCCGAGTTCTGCTTTTACCCCTACCACTGAGTGCCTCTTGTCACCCTAATTGGATGAGTGCATGCATCAGCTGCTCTTCACTGAAGCAATGTATTTCAAATGTGGAGTGAAAGCCTGGAAAATACATCTTTGGGTAAGAATCTGCATCTGATTTATTGGCACCTGCAGACCTGTGTCAATTAGACATCAGCTTTTGCCATGGAGAAAATAGAAATGTCTTTTTCCCTCAGCTGCAGATTTCAGGTCAGTCCTATCCCTAGCGTTTGTCTCCCCCCGACCTTTTAATCTCTACATGTCATCCTTTGCCATTGGCTGCTACATTGCAGAACAGATGTGGCTACATTATAGCACTGGGGATGGGATGATCTCTGTGTAGGAGGTGGTTTGGGAGATTGTTTCCCCTCGGTGTCAGTTTGTAAAGCACTTGGAGATAAAAGGAGTTGGAGAAATGCGTTGTATGAGGTTGTCTTACATTTAAAACAAAGCATTGAGAACAATTTGAAAATTAATATGAAGTCACTCCGTTAACAACAGGATGGTTGCACCTTTAATGAAGGAAAAATAAACACTTGCTGTTGGCCTCCTCAAAGGTCTGGCTGCAGTTCTAGGTTGGCTGAAGTGTGTGTGTGTGTGTGTGTGTGTGCATGCTCGCTCAGTTGCCAAAAGGAAGGTCAAGTTGGGCTGCAGCAAAATACTCTTCTGAGCCGGCACAGGAATAACTTGTTTTCCCAGTGGACATCTGAGCTTCCGCCCTTCACTGAACTGTGATTGACTCTAATGCTGAGGTGACTGTGTTCTGTGGGGCTTGGGGAGGGCCAAAGGGTAACTTAAGCATCAAATGCAGCTGTGTTCCCACTGGACTCTAGGCTGCCCAGCTGCTGGGATTGATGAGTTCTGTGAAGAGGCTGAGAGAGCTGGGGTCTAGTGTAGAGAAGGCTCTGGGGAGACCTTATAGCAGCCTACCAGTACTAAAAGTGAGCCTACAGGGAAGCTGGGGAGGGAGTCTTTATCAGGGGGTGTAGAAACAGAACCCAGGGGTAACGGCTTTAAAATGAAAGAGGGGAGATTTAGATATTAGGAAGACCTTCAGCGTGAGGATGACGATGAGGCCCTGGCTCAGGCTGTCTGGAGGGTCTCTGTCTATGGAGCTGCTCAAAGCCAGGTTGGGTGGAACCCTGGTCTGGTGGGTGGCAACCAGCTCGTGGTGGAACTGGGTGGGCTGTAATGTCCCTTCCAACTCCAGCCATTATGTGATTCAGTGAAATTACCTAGAAGGAAAAACCACTCAAGACTTTATTTGGAAATGCAAAGCAGCTTCTGCTCTGAACCAGCCTGAGGCCACTGCCCTCTCTTCTGCACCACAGGAAAGAATTCGGGTTCCAACAGAGATGAAGGGCCACCTTTGGCACTGCCTTGAAGGGCAGCAAGAGAGAGGGGAAAGAAAAAGAGGTGCAGTCAGAGCAGAAAACAGCATTTGGCCTCGTGATGGTGGTTCTCGTGGGATTCTGTCCCTGTTGCCCTGTGTTCTCCCTGTTCGGCACCACCAGAGGGCACAGGCAGACCGGGCACGGCTGTCCCCCCATCCATTCCGTCCTTCACCTCGCGTTCAAGGTTACTCCAGGTTTGCAGAGGGCTGTAAATCAGGCTGTCCATACACAGCGGGTCAGGCCGTCCCCTGAACGCAGCGAGATGAATGTTTCTGGGAACCAACAAAGGAAGCATTTCAGGTGCATGCAAGTGAAGGGGGGGAGGTGTGCGGATGGCCTCTGAACTGCCCCCAAACTCTGCTATTCCAAAGCTTTCATGATCACTAACAACCCTCCCTTAATTACAAATAGATCAGAACCTTCGGCCGTGGGAAAATTCCAGTCGTTTGGGAAGTTTTGGGAACGCGGCCCTGCCAGGAAGAAGTCAATATCCTGGCACAGCTGTAAAGCTGCACATGACACTGAGGCGCAGACTGGGCAGCTATGCCAAGCCAGCACAGTCCTTACAGGAGCAGTCCCTGTGGTGCCACTGGTGCTGGAAGCCAAGAGGTCAGGTCTGCTGTTTATCATGTCGATATTTCCCTGTTTGAGTAGGGCCATTGGATTGAGCTGAAGGGAGCTGAACGTTGACTTTAGCTCACCTGTGGAGATAGGTGGACTTTGCGCTGGCTTACAAAACATCTGCAAGGACCATCAGGAATGAAAACAGGCCCCCAGAGGGGTAATTTCTCTGGTTGTAAAAGAGAAGTCAGACAGCAGAGCGCATTCCAGCCCTGCTTGCTTTGCAGCTCTAATGATACCCTTTGGATTTTGGTCACCATTTAAATGCTACGGTTGCATTCCTTTGACTTGTGGTCCAGCAGAAGGCTTGGTGTGCTGTTACGTGCTTTGTGGTGAGGTCAGAGCTCAGAGGACAGAGAGGGGCTAGCAGGGCTGATGTGAGCCCCAGCAGACAGGCGTGATGAACAAGGACAGTTCTTTGTCCTTAGTTGCCCTCACTGTTCTAATTCTGCTTTGCTAATCAGCTCAAGGTCAGCTTAAGATGCCTCACAACAATGGGCACGTATGTCAGTTACAGCTGAAAGGCCTTTGCTCTTTCTGCACGGAAATGATTTTTCCATTGCTTTCAATCACCTTCCCATTTGTCAGGCTGTCTGCTGAATGCCAGTTGATAAAAACGATAAGGAATGAGGCACAAATTAAACTTTCAGTCGAACAGATGGCAGTGTGGTGAGAATGGCAAATAGTGTTTCAGTGGGAATTGCAGCAGTGCCCAACGGTCCTGTGAGCGGCTGACAAAAGTGCCTTTAGGCAGGCTAAGTGTTAGGAGAGCCTATAAGCCAGACAGACCGCAGGAAGCCTAAACACTCTTCTACATTGAGGAGCTGTACGGAATAAGAGTCTTTAACAGGGTCTGTTGTGATAGGAAAGGGGAAATGGCTTCAAATTAAAAGAGAGGCGATTTAGATTAGACATAAGAAGTTTTTTTTTACAGTAAAGGCAGTGAGGCATTGGGATGGGTCCAAAACTCTGCTACTGCAACGTCTGTGCTGCCACACCATGACTCTGCCCTCCGTGTTTGTTTATAGACAAACCTTGGAGAAACACGTTTGTGAGAGCCTTTCTGAAATTTGGGTATATTTATAAAACATTTCAATAGAACTTTTAATGTTGTCCTGACATTTCCCTTAGGAGTTGGAAACAGACATAACGGAAAGGAAATTGCTTCTTAATCTCTCTTCCCCTTTCTGTGTGTGATTCAGCTTCATGTCCCAGAGTAGCCTGATACAACAAGTTTTTGCTTCTTATAGAGGGATTTCTAGTCACACAGGCAGAAATGATAATGGGTTGGAGAAAAGAAAATTAAAAAACAACATTTTCTTTGCTGTTCCCTCTTCTTTTCATGGGCCAGAATCAATAGCAGTGAACTTTGGTCTTGCAGTGCTTGAAGGCACCACTGAAAATTGTGGCTTTCTTGTGGTAAGACATTAAAACAAACACCACCACCTCACCCTGAAAAGAGGAACAAAACCAAAAGCAACCGACCAACTAAACAAAAAAAGCACCCCACATCCAAGCCTGTTCCAGCTTAAACAAATGGCACCAATGGAGATCAAAGGACGTGGCAGTTAAATGGGAGATGAAGGAAGAAGAACATAGGGGAGAAGAGGTGACTTGGCCAACCGAGGTCGGAGACGGTTTCATGCTGCAGTATTCAAAGCCCAGACATTTTGTTTTCAGGCAAATTGTAGACTTTTGTAGGGATGTGAAAGGTGCAATGCTGCTGGAATGAATAAATCTAGACCCACGCACAGAGACTCCGGCTTTGTGCTGTCCGTGATGACAAGTCACAGAAGAGGCAGTGTGCAGTATGGTTCCTCTGTTTTACATAAGACCACTGCACAATTCAACAGATCTGAGTAACAACTGAAGTCAATTAAATTAACCAGACAAGAAAAACAGCTACACCCATTTCAGCGTGGACATGTGCAATTGCAAGCAATTACTGTGATTAACCTTCTCACGGTCATATAAATCCAGCACCTGGCTAATAAGGCACACATGTGCCTGTGCTGAGGATTTTGCTCCAGGCAAGAGATGTGCTCTGGGTGAGGATCCTTTTTATTTGCCTTTTTCCCAGTCATTTCCCAGAAGCCTTAAATTTCTCCCTAGCCTTCCTTATCTTTTTTTGACTTGACCTGAGCTGTGTTCGCCATCGACATGTTTGTTGTTAGCAGTGGGTGGGAGAGCCCTGCTACAGAATCACACCATCCTTAAGTCAAAAGTCACCACTTGCATCAGTGGAACTTCCCCATCTTTGCAATCAAGCAGCCTCTGCAGGAGTCAGAAGAAGTCCATTCTTCCATTGAGCCCAGAAAAACTGAAGGCAAATTGTTGGATAATACTGATGTTATGGTTCGATTTTATATTGCTGTGTACACACAGTACTTGTTACCATAAGGGCCAATGTGTCAGATCCATAATCAGCAGCCTTACACTGATATGTTTCAGGAAACAAGCTTACCTTTCCACACACATGGCATTGTTGTCATTTTACATGATGTTTATAAGGAAAAGGGAAGTACATGGTAAACACATAGACACTATTCATCAGTATCTTTGGATTGCTGGACTATATCGCTAAGATTTTCCTATAAACCCCCATAGAAGTGGGTGTCTGCTGTTTTTGTTCAGGGTTACAGCAGATTGTTTTTAGATTAAACTTTATATATGACTCACATTCTCAGCTTGAGCACACTGTGGTTGCCAACAGGAATGAAGTGAATTTAGACAATTCATGAATCAGTCCATAAGCCACGTAGGGAAGATTCAGATGTAGAAATGATCAGTCACCTGCACTGCAATCTCAATGGTGTATTCAGGTTCAGTAAATTTCTCATTCAGAAACAGGAAAAAAAAAAAAAGCCAACAACAGAGGTTATCCTCTTATTGGTGTAATTGTCCTCATGTTGTTTCTGGGCAGTATTTGTCCGCACCCATCTTAAATTTGTCAGTAAGTGGAACGTGAGAATATTAACTTCTGTACAAATGGGAGCTTTTATAAAGATCTTCTCTTCCCTGTGCCATTCATCTGTATGCTAAGGATTCCACCTTTGCAAACTCCATGCTCTGAAATTCCTCCTCCTCTCCTTCTCCTCTTCTCCTTCTTTTCCATTAGAGGAAGGTTATTATTTAGTCAGAGTTGTGCAATATGTTTCTGGTATCTCTTGCTGGAACAGCCCAGGGCTCAGGCTCTGGCTGAGATGATGAGCATCCAGCTAAACTGGGGGATTTCCCCCGTGCTAGGGGATTACGGTGCATCTGAAAACATGCACTTGCAATGGAAAAGGACTTCAGATTGCTAAACAAACGATATGTCTCAAATTGTCTTTCTGAAAAAGAAAAACTCTTGACTCTCAAGCCCCTGTATGCGAAATTTCCAGGATGATGGAATCATTGTGTAGAGTTTCTTGCCACCACTATATGATGTAAAGGAAAACTGTGTGGTGACAAACAGCTCTGTCCTATGGCAGTGTTAGATATACCATGGGTGGATTACTCATTTTCCAGCTTGCCTTTGAGTCCTGGCATTTTGCATTTT